AAGTGTAGATATGTAGGGTAGCTGCTGTATAAAAGGCCCATGAAGATAAATCCATTAAGTTTTTGAAAAGATGAACATTTCTGATATTAAGAATGTTCATATTAGCTAGCCTTATTTTCCACTGTTTCTCAGTCAAAGGACTGCACAAAGTTTTTGGGAGCTTCAGCTCAGTTCAGTTGCTCAGTCGTGTCCGACTCCTTGCAACCCCATGGACTGCAGCAGGCCACGCCTCCCTGTCCATCACTGACTCCCAGAGTTTACTCAAACTCATGTCCATTGAGTCGGTGATGCCATTCAACCATCTCATCCTCTGTTGTCCCCTTCTCCTCCCACCTTCAATCTTTCCCAGCATCAGGGNTCTAACTGTTGCTTCCTGACCTGCATACAAGCTTTCTCAAGAGGCAGGTCAGGTGGTCTGGTATTCCCATCTCTTTCAGAATTTTCCACAGTTTGTTGTGATCCATACCGTCAAAGGCTTTGACACAGTCAATAAAGCAGAAATAGATGTTTTTATGGAACTCTCTTGCTTTTTTGATGATCCAGCAGATGTTGGCAATTTGATCTCTCGTTCCTCTGCCTTTTCTAAATCCAGCTTGAACATCAGGAAGTTCACAGTTCAGGTACTGTTGAAGCCTGTCTTGGAGAATTTTGAGCATGACTTTACTAGCGTGTGAGATGAGTACAATTGTGCGATAGTTTGAGCATTCTTTGGCATTGGAATGAAAACTGACCTTTTCCAGTCCTGTGGCCACTGCTGAGTTTTTAAAATTTGCTCTGGAGCTTTCTGTGGCTCAAATTAGTTGTCTTAACCACTGGACTATCAAGGAAGTCCTTGTAATAATTCTTTATATCAGACTTTCCCTATTCAAATGCTCATGTAGTTTCTTTCTCCTAATTGGGCCCAGGTTGGTACCTATCCCCACTCTTCACCTGGGTAATTTTATTTGTCCTTTAGGTGATAATAACGTCTAAAGGATTTTATAAAGTCCTTCTCTGAGATCTCAAACCAAATTATCCCTTTGTTTTTCCTTCATAACATCTTCCACAGTTTTAAACTTATGTATTAGTTTGTGTGATTATTGCATATCTTTATCTTCCCAAACTAGATAACAGTCTTCAGGAGGGCATTGATCACATTTATTTTGTTTACTGCTATAAATCCAGTGCTTATTACAGTGCTTAACCCAACAATGGGTCATTACATGAAAAAGAGAGTAAATCTTTTTTAAAAGAGAATTATTTATTTATTTATTTTTGGCAGCTAGGGGTCTTAGTTGCCATTCATGGGCTTTCTCTAGTTGTGGTGAGTGGGGGCTACTCTCTAGTTGCGGCGTGTGGACTTCTCATTGCAGTGGCTTCTCTTCTTGTGGAGCATGGGCTCTAGGACACGCGGGCTTCAATAATTGTGGCACATGCGCTTAGTTGCTGCCTGACATATGGAATCTTCCAGGACTAGGGATCAAACCTTGCATTGGCAGGCAGATTCTTAACCAATGGACCACCAGAGGAGTTTGAAAGTAAATTTTTATTGAGGTTTTATAATATTCAAGTCCCTGGTGGCAACTCAAAAAAAAAAGAACTCAACCCCCTGTTCACAGAGGGTTGACAAATTTATATGAAAGAATAAGACCCACACAAAAAATGTAAATCAGTAAAGAGACAGTTTCAAAAGAATGGTACAAGTTGTAAGTACTAGTAGTTCAAAAGCAATCAAAAATTTTATTTTTAAAAAGATTTTTTATTTTTATAGACATCCATAGAAATTAATTTCTTCTTAGCCAATTGTATTTTATCCATTATATATTAGTGGGGAAGAAAATGGTCCAAATGAGATCAATTATTTTAGAAGATCCTTTTTGGTAGATTCATAATGAGTTGCTAATTTTTCTGGGAAGTTTTTTAAATCTAGCATTATATTTTAATTTGTTCTATGCATTGTAGGTTTCCTAAAGTAGAAATAATTAACTCTAAAATTGAAGAAATTACTCATGTTTGCTCTTTTCTTAGACTAGACCTCTGTCTTTAAGTCCTTTCTTTGGTGTGTATTGTGAGGGCTAGCTGTTATCTGTTTGTATCTATGGTGAGAATCTTCTAATGCTTACTTTGGTATGATTTTGGGCAAGTCACAGAATCACATATGCTAGGATTTGGAATGGTTAGTAGTCAAATTCTGTCCAGTTCCTTCATCTGGAAATAAGGGGCTGTACTATATGTTCTCAGATCCATCTGAATCTCTCTGAAAACATTAGCTGAGCAAACACTTAGTTGAGCAATAATTCCCAGTGTCACATTTGTTTCCTGAAAGACTATAGTTGTTGAATGAATCACTGGAACTGTAAATTTTATTTAATACTTAGTGAGTTTTGATATTTTGAGATGTCAAATACTTATTAGAGTTTTGATTCTTACCTATATATATAGTATATAAGTATGTATAGTATATATTTGATAAGCATTTAAATGCTTATTAAAGTTTTGATTCTTTAACCTATATATATAATATATATTTGATAAGCATCTAAATGCTTATTAAAGTTTTGATTCTTTAGCATATATATGTATGACAAATTATATATAAGATATATTTAATAGGCATTTGACATCTCAAAATACCAAACCTCATTAAATATATTTATTAAATATATTAAATATATTTAAGTATATTTATGAAATAAATATAAATATAAATTTAATAAAATTTACAGTTCCAGTGATATATATATATATATATATATATATTTTGGCCTCACCATCCAGCATGTGGGATCTCAGTTCCTCAACCAGGGATCGAACCCATGGCCTCCTATAGTGGAAGTTCAGGGTCCTAACTGCTGCACCATCAGAGAAGTCCCCTCTTTAGCCCACATTGATCACATAATATAACATTCCTGGCCTTCAACTTCCTCATTAGAGAGTGTCCTGAACATTCATTGGAAGAACTGTTGCAGAAGCTGAAACTCCAATACTTTGGCTATCTGATGCAAAGGACTGACTGACTGGAAAAGACTCTGTTGCTGGGAAGGATTGAAGGCGGGAGAAGAAGGGGACAACAGAGGATGAGATGGTAGGATGGCATCAGCAACTAGACGGACATGAGTTTGGGCAAGCTCTGGGAGTTGGTGATGGACAGGGAAGCCTGGCGTGCTGCAGTCCATGGGGTCACAAAGAATTGGACATGACTGATCGACTGAATTGAATTGATATTGACAAGATAACATGAAATTTTTGTTTAATTAATAAACTTTTCCTGAGTATTTATTATGTATCAGGCACTGTAGGAATCACTGAGGACACAAAAGCAATATATGTTTCCTGCCCCCTATATTTTAGGTGAATTGAAGGTGGAAGAAACTTGTTGCAAAGGTCAGCTAAGAAAGCCACTGTGGCCAATCACTTATAAATCACAACACACAGCTTCCTCATGTAAACTGAGAAAAAAATGTGCAGTGAGTTGTGAATTAAGTTTTATTTGGGACCTGATGAGGACTATAGCCTGGGCTGTACATAGCTCTGAGGACCTGTCACTATATACATGGTTTTAGTGAAGGGGGATACTTGCAATCAGGCACACATTTTTGCAAAGGTTTGATGTTAGTCATGAAGAACAGATGTTTCCGTTAAAGACTTTAGTGGTTTTCCAGGCATGAGAAGATAAAAGGAATTGGGCTCACAAAATCTTCTCCTGAAAATAACCATACAAAGGCCTGTTCTGCCAGTTTTTCCCAGAGCACAGCATGCCTCATTTCTGATCTCTGCCCTGAGCTCCTTTCAGGGTGTGTTGAAGGTCAGTGACAACAATGGCTAGTGACTTCATTCTTGTAAAATGGCAACAGATGACAAGTGACAATTTTTAGTTGGCACCTATTTTTAGTATCCCTTATTAAATAAAAAACTAACTTCCATAAGACAGAAGATAGGATGGAGATTATTCAAGATACACTGTGTCAAATCAAAAAATGAAAAAGATGAATTAAAGGTTTGTTTGATCAGAGGCAAGAAAATAGGGAATGGACAATGGAAGTTAGACTTCTCAGTGCTTTGAAACTCACAGTTGAGAAGAACTTTGCACATGACGTTTTTTAGACCCTCTTTAAGGGAGGGTCTAGACAAATGTGGCAATAGAAATTTTTGTAAATGCAAAATTTTTGTACACTGGGACGAGATGAATGTTAAATGTGAGCTAGACAAAGCAGACCAAAAATAAAGCAAACCCAACTGCTAAAATTCAACTTTAGAAACACTCAACCATATAGACGGGGAATTTCCACTGGACTTTAGAGGTCCCATGGGTCCAATCCCTGTCTCCTCCATTGCACGCAGGTTCTTTACCATTGAGACACCAGGCAAGCCCAAACAGACCCACAATAACCTCTCAGAGATTTGGATGTGCTCCAGAAGAGCCAGTCGGGCTTTCCGTATTTTAGACAACCAAAACCAGACAGCCCTATTTTCAGAGGTTAATGTCTGCTCTGTTGAAGAAGTGAAGTCACTCAGTAGTGTCCGACTCTTTGGGACCCCAAAGCAGCCTTCTCCATCCATTGGATTTTCCAAGCAAAAACACTGGAGTGGGTTGCTATTTCCTTCTCCAGAGGAGCTTCCCGACGCAGGGATTGAACTGGGGTCTCCCGCGTTATAAGCAGACGCCTTAACCTCTGAAGCACCAGGGATGTCTTACAAAGCGATGTAGTGCTGCAGCTACGCTCTCCAGCCAGACCCCGGAGGAGAGAGCTGGCTTTTCATTGGATCAGCGCGGAAGACAGAGCCGGCGGCTCTCTATTGGTTTAGAAGTGGGGCGGGAGGGAGGCGTGTCCTCACGTCACGCCCGTCCTCAAAATGCCTACTCAGGGCTGTGGAAGGAGAAGTCCTGGAGGAAGAGGATAACCCGGAACAACCTTTGCGGGCCTGAGCCAGCCCTTTCTCGGAACTTGGGTCCCCTCCTACCAACCAAGAGAGCTCCGCCCCAAGCAGCCCCGCCCGCACCGGGGGATCAGGTGACCGTGGGCCGGCGCGGTCACGTGACTGGGCGCGCCCGCCCGTTGTGGCCATGGCGGCCGCAAGCTCCAGTGTGGTGAGGCGAGTGGAGGAACTCGGAGACCTGGCGCAGGCCCACATACAACAACTTAGCGAAGCCGCCGGCGAAGATGGTGAGGGAGCCGAGAAGAGGGAGGCGGGCAGGCGGGCGGTTGTTTGGAGCTGGCTCTCGACGGCCATAGGGGCTGAGGCTGCGGCCTGTAGTCTGTGGATTCCAGGCCAGAACTACCGGAGGTGTTGCGCTTCTGGCCCTAGCTGGGCGGTCTCTTGTCTACTTCCAGCAGCTCACATCGCTTTAAGACATAGGTATTTACTTCCGGACCAGGCTTTTCATAACCCGCGAAAACCGCTGAAATCTCAGGCAAATCAGTGCTTCTGTCTTTAACTGTCTCGGTGGCGACTGGCAAAAGGGCGAGATCTGGATGAAAGTACACAGGAAAGTTTAAATGAGTGGTTAAAGTTGGATGGTGGTACGCAAATAAGTAATGATAGTTTTGCATGTCGTAAAGATAGTTTGGCGTGTATAATAGTTCTATCATTACGTTGTAAATTTCTGTGTTGTGTTTTGGAGTCTATAAACTCAACTGTAAACAGTAGTCTACAGAAGAGATTTACATTGGTATAATTAAAACGATTCTCTCACCTTCATCACCTGAGTTGCCACAAGGGCCCTGTCAGTACTAGGACACTTTTTTTTTTTTTAAATATCTAGGCGGTTTCCTTTGGAAAAACTGACACAGAGAATCACCTCGACGTTTACTCTTTTTCATTACTTACCAGCTGCCTATAGGTTTCTACATTCTTTCTTAGCGAGTTTTGCACCTTTACTTACAGATAGAAAGTTTAAAAAAAATTTGTGGGCTGTCTTGTTGTCTTCGGAGTCATGGGTAAATAGTAGTGGAACGTTTTCCCAAGCGATTGAATAGTTGGTGAATTTATTAAATAAGGTCCATGATAAAATGGCTCTAGTTCCATACAAGACTATTTGCTGGATTTTCTTTTCTTAGGGGTCTGTTGTTTAAAATCCACAAGACTACCCTGAAGTTGTTTCCTTTTTTGGTTTGTGGTAAGTGAATCACATGAATAATTTTAGTTCATGGACAGTAGTAGCTATTCCAGTAGCTGTTGTCTGGAAGTGTATCTAAGTTACTTCTAAATAAACTATTCAGTGATTTCCACCCCACTCCAGCTCCGTTAGAACCAGTCTTGAAGAGATGAAAGAGTGTATGCTATTCACTTACCAATAAACCCAAAAGCCATTCTCATTTTCCAATGGAAGAATACTTTAACCCAGTCTAGAGTGAGGGCTGAAAAGTAATATATTCTTGTTTGGAGGCTTTAAAGTTCTGAAATGTACTGTAATTGCAATAATAGTGGTCCACGTTATGAATTGTTCAGTATTACTAGCAAGATTTGATTTTATGAAGTTTAACTAAAACATAGTTCCATGTATTTGAACTTGTATTTTCCAATACAACAAAAATAATACACAGTAAAAATTTGTTCTTTTGTGATATTTCTATTAGGTTGTAGGAACTGATACTTCCTGAAGTTTTTGAATTTGATCAGATACAGCCAGACATTAGTCCATGTAAGAATACTGTCCTACTACTGGTCAATTTTTGTTCATTTATTTCTCACTGTACAAGCACAATGTGTTTACGAAGTGGAAATATACCATTAGAGGGACCTTTTCTGAGGACTATGTTAGAATCTCTTACCTTTGCCTTGTCAGTCACTATGTTGACTGAATGGTTAGGAAAAATTCTACGTTTCATAAAAATTTTCTAAAACGGTGAGCCATTATCCCTCCACTTCTCTAATTATGTCATGAGTTCATGTGAAATGCTCCTTTAGCAATGGTTTGATGAACTCAGTGTAGGTCTTTACATTTAAAATAATCCTTCAAATTAAGCAGAAAATATCAACTCATTGTTTAAAGAAGCTCCTGAGGAGTGTCATGTTCCAAACCATTTCAGTTCACAGTAGAATCTTTTTTTCCTGAGCTGTCTGGTTGATACTTCTGGGCTGAGGAGAGATAGGAGGGCAGTGCTGAAGAAGTAGTTTTTGATTTAGGTGAACACTGGACCTTAAAGCTTTCAGAATCTGGTCTAGATACAGGTTCGGCCTTACCAGGGAAAGTTTAAGGTTGTCGTATTACTGCCAGATGCAGCTTAAACTGGTGATGCTTTTGTTCCAACACTGATCTTCTTACCTGCCTGTGTAGGTGCTGAGGCTGGATCAGATGGACCCTCACCAGGTCCTACATTGTCCGTTTACCAGTGAGGGGAAAAGGTTATATATTTGAGGAGAGAGCTACAGAGGGGCAATCTCAAGGATCTAAGTGTCTTGATTTTTTTTTTGATGATGTGTGTGTGTGCGTCATTGCTCAGTGTCCAACGCTTTGCAGCTCTTTGGACTGTAGCCCACCAGGCTCCTCTGTCCATGGGGATTCCCCAGGCAAGAATACTGGAATGGGTTGCCATGCCCTCCTCCAGGGGTTCTTTTCCAACCCAGGATGCAGAAGGGTGGATAGCACCTTGGTATGTACAATTTGTAGGTTAGGGAGGAAAAATTCATAAGAAAAGGTGAAAGTGTAGAAGCAAAAGAAAAAAGGAATGAATTAGACAATGTAGAGGGGAAGTGAGGACGAGTTGCTTTTAGAGGGTATATCAGAAATACTTAATTTTGTCCAAGTTTTGATTTCTAGGTTTTCAAGAAATAAACTACTCAGGTATATTGTGTAATTTTACTTACAACAGCTATTTGTATACATAAATACATAAATATAATTACAAAGTTATAATTTTATAACTAACAGCACTTACATTTTATGAGGCATTTGGTTTAGTCAGTCTTTTTCCTTCGCAGAATGTATGTATGAAATTACAAGCTTTTAGTGGAAGTCCTTTCTGTAGATTTATGTATATTATTTGTACTCTTCCAATAAAAGTTTTAAATTTAATGCTTAAACGTTTTGAGTATGTCAGCATCATAAAATAAACATTATGAAAGTACAGGTTGTACTTAAGAAATGGCAACTGAACCTAGAAAGTTTTAAGTCCAGCTTTTAAGGAAAAATTTCCATGATAAATTTAAGTAGAGTTAGGCATTATGACATACTTCATGTTTTAGAAAAGATATTACTATGTTGTATTAATTTTATCATTTTAGATATGTAGCTTTTTTTTTCTTTAAAAGACACCTGAAACTAGGTGAAGTAATCATATTTTTATCTCTTATAGATCACTTTTTAATTCGCGCCTCTGCAGCTCTAGAAAAATTGAAATTTCAGTGTGGTGAAGACAAAGAATGTTCAACCCCATCAAATCTTCTAGAACTTTACACACAGGTACTGAATCAGATTGTTTCTGACATATTGTGGAGGCAGGTTCTTACTTAAAAGAGTTGACTCCAAAATTTAGGTTTAATGTTCTTTATTTATAATGTTTTTGTTCAAAAAACTATGTATAAGGCATATAAACTTGAAACTGTGAGGCAGTTTGCAAAGAAGTAAAGTTTATTGGATGTGTGGATTATAAACTGAGGGAAAAAGTCTTACAGATAACAATATTGCTTCCTGTTTAGATAATTAAGCAAAATACTCATATGTACAATTTCCAAGCTCTGAAAGGTTAGTCAGAGGGAATAGAGGTTTCTATAAGGCCTCTGGTTATTTTTTTTTTCCCTGAAATTTAGCTTTCCTTTGGATTGTTCGCTTTACTACCTTTGCTTTTGTTATACAAGTCCATAAGAACAGAAAATTGTTCTCCCTTCTTCTTTCACTTTTCTTTCAAATTCAGACTTCTCTATGGACAAGGTCTGTTTTCTAGGTTTTCTCAAACTGCTGAGGCAAGTTCACATTAATAAACATAATTTTGAGAGACTTCCCTGGCAATGTAGTGGTTAATACTCCGTTCTTCCATTGCAGAGGGCACAGGCTTCACCCTGATGGAGTTCCATGAAGGAACTAAGATCCTGCATTTGTGCAGCACAACAAAAAAGCAAAACCTGAAAAAAAACATAGTTTTATTATAGTAGCTATCATTTATATAGCACTTTATAGTTGAAAGAGTGCTTCATATGCCCTTACTTGATTGCCAGGGGATAATAAAGATGAAGTTGTTATAGGAAATAACACTTATAGGAAATAAGAGTAAACTTAGTCGACTTTCCAAAACACACATTCATAGCGCTTAGCTGCCTGACACTGCTTTCTGTTAGGAGATACATAGAGATAGTTTCTGCCTTCAGATGTGGTTGAATGAGCCTCTGACAAGTACCCACAAACCCCAGAGAGCTGTTGCAGCTCAGGAGAAATTTGCTTCACTTTCTTTCTTTCCCTTCAGAAGGTTCCCTATTTATCTTACTTCTTTCTGTAGACATTTTAACTTATTTCTGGGAATAAGGTAAAAGAATTAAAGATATAATTAAAATTCCTCAAACCCTTCTGGAGCTTACTTGTGGTTCTGAATCAACAGGTCCTTTTCCTTAGGATGATGATCTCTCCCTTCCTCCCTTCCTGGCCTAGGCCTTCTAACACAAGAGCACCTGTCACTTAAGTAGTGCTGTGTGCTGGGTCATGTTCTAAGTGATTTACATATGTTAATTCATTTTATTCTCCAAGGCCAGGGACTTTAAAAGACAATTTGTCAATGAAGAAACTGAGGCTTTAAAAAAGAAGTAAAATATGACTTGTCTTTGGTTGGTTAAATAGAACTAATAGCAGAACTCAGTTTCCTTAGTCTTTGTCAAGTAGGTTAAACAGAGACAAAGGATTGAGTAGTTTGAAAGTGCTGGCTCTTCATTTGGGGAAACAGGTAATCCTTTGAAGATTCAGTGTACAAAACTGGAGGTAGTGACCTTTTCTTGATAATGGCAGGCATTTAGAAAATGTTCAGAAAGTAATATATGCAAATAATAAAGAATATAAAAAACTTTTATAATTGTATATGATTAACTTACCTGAATTAAAACATAAATATCCATTTTATTTTTTGAGGAAAGCTGGATTATCTTAAATCAGTATTTAGTTCAATCTTACGAAGTTCACTGTAAATTCGTCTTAGATTATATTTACAGCTAGGACTACTGGGATTTCCCTGATGGCTCAGCAGGTAAACAATCCACCCGCAATGCAGGAGATACAGGTTCAATCCCTGGGAAGATCCCCTGGAGAAGGAAATGACAACCCACTCCAGTGCTCTTGCCTGAAAAACCCCATGGACAGAGGAGCCTGGCAGACTACAGTTCATGGGGTTGCAAAGAATATATGTAAGATTAAACTGTAAGAGTTATTCATTCTAATTCAAATCTTTTATATTATACTTTTTTCTCTCTTACTTCAGGCTATTTTGGACATGACATATTTTGAGGAGAACAAGCTAGTAGATGAAGATTTTCCTGAAGATTCTTCACAGAAAGTAAAAGAGTTGATCAGTTTTCTTTCAGAACCAGAAATTTTGGTTAAAGAAAATAATATGCATCCAAAAGTAAGTTTTGCACAACTGTGAATTATGGTGGAATGCTGCTAATTCCTGCTAGACTACCCTTTAGGATCTATGTTTTTTTTCTTCTTAAATGTGTCTTTGCCTCTGTTTTAAATTGACTGAAGGAGGGCTATATGAGAGTTGAACGTTTCAGACTGATGTCAAAACTAAAGTATCCATTTTTATAAATATGTTTCAGAACATTTTCTATGATGAAGTTTTGCACCGTGCATAGTCATTTTCTAAAGATGCACATTTGCTCTTTCTACTCCCTTTACTTTTGCAGATGCTATGTTTTCTTGAAGATTCCTTGTAATCTTAATGACCACATCTCTGGTTCTTTCACAGTCCTCTTCCTCTTGGACATTTGCTTTCTTTCCAAGGATCATAGTATTCCTGAAGGCCTTGCATGCTTCTCTTCATCTCTTCATCTCTTTCTCTTTCTAAGCATCTCACCTCTCTCCCATTCTGGAAACATAGGCACTCCCCAAGAATATCTCCTTAATCCTCTAATAGTTCTATTTTGTCTTTGTTTGACAACTTGTCCACATGCTTTTTACTGCTGTCTCTATTTCAGTGATTTCCAAGATTTTTGTATCTAGCCCTGACTACTCTATAAACCCATGGATCAGCAGAGAAATCCATTCATTCAGGCAAATAATTTCTCATCTTCAACTATCTGCTGGCTGTCTCTACTGAGATATCTTTGTTGCTCTCTGTTTTATCAGGGAATGCTAACTGTGGAAATAAATAATCCCAAGTTTTAAATGATACCACATAATAAAAGTTTGATTCATTAAATTATTTTTGTATATATCTTTTCATTATTTTAATTTCATAGTAGTAGAAAATGTGTCAGGTAACATGTATATATTTCTGAAAACTTATTTTTTCCATCAGACTATGGAATACTAACATTTGAAATACTTTAAAGGATTTAGTTACTAAAACACTTGAATATCAGTTATCTAGAAATATTTGTAAATTGGAGTAGCTATTTTAATTTTTATGTAGCAGTAGATGTCTATATTTCTAATTGATTCAAAGTAAGTCATTCCTGTGTAGGTTGCTAAGTAAAGGGCAGATTTTATGAAATGAATATTTTTAATTTCTCAATTTTTTGAAATTTAATTTTTATTTTTATAGACATGAAGTTTCTCTTTTTAACTGAGTCTTTGTTGTATTTTAGCACTGCAGTTTGCTTGGAGATGAACTCCTGGAATGTCTCTCCTGGAGGCGAGGAGCCCTACTCTATATGTATTGTCATTCTCTGACCAAAAGGAGAGAATGGCTCACAAGAAAATCTAGCTTACTTAAAAAGGTAAAAAGGCAAATTCCTCATATATATTTGATTGTTGACATTTAAATGTTTCTAAAATCTATCTTTAATATAGGATTAAGAACCAAGGAATCAAAGGGTCTGCGTTTTCATTCCAGGCCTGTACTTATCAGCTGTATAATCTTAAATTGGAAGTACTGTGAAGATTAAATAATGTGGAAAAGAAAAACCATAAAATAACATGTGAAAATCCCTTGTAAACTGGGAAGTTTTACACTTTTTTTTATAAGTCCCAGATTTTTATTGTTTAAAATATAAGACAGATGATCTGTATTAATTTCTAAGCATATTTTTTGGCCTGAAGAAAACAAACTTGGTAGTGAGCCTCTTTCTATCAGCAGATCACTCCTAAAGATTCCACATGACCCTGCTCTTAGAAAATTGTGGCTCTCTGATTTTTCCTGATTCTTCTGACCAAATCAGTAAATGCAAAGATCCTGTCTTAATATTTGTATCACTATGGATCCTTCCTATCTTGGGTTGGTTGTACACAGTTTATGTGGGCCTGCAAATGAGACGTCACAGTTTCAGATGTAAAAATTTGATTATAGTATTTCCAAATTATAGTAAGTGTATCCATATTTTTAACAAGTTGTTATTGAACACATCTTTATTATCTTTATTGATTTCTTTCTCTGATGACACTTTTGACAAGTATGTTATTAAATCATGTGTTCTTGGTTAGTGATTTTTTCCCTTGTTGTTCAGCCCCTAAGTTGTGTCTGACTGTGCAACCCGTGGAATGTAGCATGTGAGGTTCTTCTCTATCCTTCTCTATCCTTCTGTCCTCCACTATCTCCCAAAGTTTGCTCATATTCATGTCCATTGAGTTGGTGGTGCTATCTGATCCTCTCTTGTTGCCTTTAGTCTTTCACAGTATCAGGGTCTTTCCAGTGAGTTGACCATCACATGGCCAAAGTATTGGCATTTCAGCTTCAGCATAAGTTCTTCCAGTGAATATTCAGAGTTGATTTCCTTTAAGATTGACTGGTTTGATCTTGCAGTCCAAGGGATTCTCAAGAGTCTTTGCCAGCACCATAGCTCAACAGCATCAATTCTTTGACATTAAGCCTTCTTTATGGTCCAACTCTCACATTCATACATGACTTACAGAAAAACTATAGCTTTGACTATATGGACTTTTATCAGCTAAGTGATATCTGCTTTTTACTACACTGTCTAGCTTTGCCATAGGTTTCCTTACAGAAGCAGACATCTTTTAATTTCATGGCTGCAGTCACTGTCTGCAGTGATTCCGGAGCTCAAGAAAATAAAACCTGTCATTGTGTTCACTATTTTACATTCTATTTGGAATGAAATGATGGGACCAGATGCCATGATCTTGGTATTTTTTTAGTGCTGAGTTTCAAGCCAGCTTTTTCACTCTCTTCTTTCACCTTCATTAAGAGGCTTTTTAGTTCCTCTTCGCTTTCTGCCATTAGAGTGGTATGATCTGCATGTCTGAAGTTGTTGATAACTTCTCCTGGCTATCTTAAGTTCAGCTTGAACTTCATCTAGTCTGGCGTTTCACATGATGTACATGTACTCTACATGCAAGTTAAATAAGCAGGTGACAATAAACAGCCTTGACATACTCCTTTTCCTATTTTGAACCAGTCAGTTGTTCCATGTAAGGTTCTAACTGTTGCTTCCTGACCTGCATACAGGTTTCTCAGGAGGCAGGTAAGGTGGCCTGGTATTCCCATATCTTTCAGAATTTTCCACAGTTTGTTGTGATCCACAAAAAGACTTTCATGTAGTCAATGAAGCAGAAGTAGATGTTTTTCTGGAACTCCTTTGCTTTCTTCATGATCTAGCAAATTGATGGCAAATTAGTCTCTGGTTTCTTTGCCTTTTCTAAACCCAGCTTGTACATCAGAAAGTTCTTGGTTCAGGTACTGCTGAAGCCTAGCTTGAAGGATTTTGAGCATAGCCTTGTTAAAATAGCGCATAAAATGAGTGTAATTTTGCGGTTGTTGAAACATTATTCGGCATTGCTGCTCTTTGGGATTGAAATGAAAACTGATCTTTTCCAGTCCTGTGGCCACTGCTGAATTTTCCAAATTTGCTGGCATATTGAGTATAGTACTTTCACAGCACCATCTTTAGGATTTGAAATAGCTCAGCTGGAATTCCATCACCTTTACTAGCTTTGTCCGTAGTAATGCTTCCTGAGGGCCACTTGACTTCACACTCCAGGATGTCTGGCTTTAGGTGAGTGATCACACCATCATGGTTATCTGGATCATTAAGACCTTTTTGTATAGTTCTGTGTATTCTTGCCACCTCTTCTTAATCTCTTCTGCTTCTGTTAGGTTTTTACCGTTTCTGTCCCTTATGCCCATCCTTGCATGAAATGTTTCCTGGATATCTCCTCATTTTCTTGACGATATCTCTAATCTTTCCCGTTCTGTTTTTTCCTCTATTTCTTTGCATTTTTCACTTAAGAAGGCTGCCTTATCTCTCCCTGCTCTTTTTGGAATTCAGCATTCAGTTGGGTATATATTTTCCTTTTTCCCTTGCCTTTCACTTTTCTTCTTTTCACAGCAATTTCTAAAACCTCCTCAGACAATCTCTTTGTCTTCTTCCATTTCTTTTTCTCTGGGATGGTGTTGGTCACTGCCTCCTGTATAATGTATGAACTTCTGTCCATAGTTCTTCAGGCATTCTGTCTATCAGATCTAATCCCTTGAATCTGTTTGTCACCTCCACTGTATATAATCATTAGGGATTTGATTAGGTCATGCTTGAATGGTCTAGTGGTTTTCCCTACTTTCTTCAATTTAAGCTTGAATTTTGCAATAAGTAGCTCATGATTGGAGCCACAGTCGGCTCCAGGTCTTATTTTGATGACTGTATACAGCTTTCCATCTTCAGCTGCGAAGAACATAATCAGTCTAATATTGGTATTGACCATCTGGTGATGGTGATGTCCATGTGTAGAGTTGCCTCCCATGTTGTTGGAAAAGGGTGTTTGCTATGGCCAGCATGTTTTCTTGACAGAATTCTGTTAGCTTTTGCCTTGCTTCATTTTGTACTCCAAGGCCAAACTTGCCTGTTATTCTGAGTATCTCTTGACTTCCTACTTTGCATTCCAGTCCCTTGTGATAGAAAGGACATCTTTTTTTTTTTTTTTTTGGTGATAATTCTAGAAGGTCTTGTAGGTCATCATAGAACCATTCAACTTCAGCTTCTTCAGCATCAGTGGTTGGAGCGTACACTGGGATTACTGTGAATGTTGAATGTTTTGCCTTGGAAGGGAACCAAGATCATTCTGTCATTTTTGAAGTTGCACCCAAGTACTGCATTTTGGACTCTGTGAGGGCTGTTCCATTGCATCTAAGGAGTTTGTGCCCACAGTGATAGATACAATGGTCACCTGAATTAAATCTGCCCATTGCTGTCCATTTTAGTTCACTGATTCCTAAGATGTTGGTGTTCAGTCTTGCCACCTCCTGCTTGACTACCTCCAATTTACTTGATTTGTGGACCTTACTTTCCAAGTTCCTATGCAATTTTGTTCTTTATAGCTTCGCACTATACTTTCATCAGCAGAGACATCCACTACTGGCATCATTTCTGCTTTGGCCCAGCTCTTTCATTCTTTCTGGGGTTATTAGTAATTGCCCTCTGCCCAGTAGCATGTTAGACACCTTTTAACCTTGGGGTCTTGTCTTCCAGTGTCACATCTTTTTGCCTTTTTATACTGTTCATAGGGTTCTTAAGTCAAGAATACTGGTGTGGGCTGCCATTTCCTCCTCCAGTAGACCACATTTTGTCAAAACTCTTCATTATGACCCATCATTTTGTATGGCCCTGCACAGCATGGTTCATGAGTTACAAAAGGCCCTTCACCACAACAACGCTGTGATCCTTGAAGGTTTTTCTCCCCATACCCTTTTACTAATTGGAGGGTTATACTTTAAAATACCCTTTAAAAAATTTCAAGGTAGTGGGTCCTTACAGCATTGTAATGTAATAACCATAAGACATATCTAGTAATAGCTATTAGCAAGTATTCTCCTGAGTAAAAATATTAACATTTGAAGTTTCTGTAGCTCTGCATTTAATAACCTGGATTCTTTGTTTTTGACTTTCATTTAGTACCTTGTTGATGGAATCAGTTACTTACTACAGATGCTGAATTTTCGGTGTCCCATCCAGTTAAATGAAGGAGTTTCTTTCCAAGACCTAGACACAGCTAAATTACTAAGTGAAGGTAATATGATTTCTTTTTTCAGTTTTCTCAGTGTTTCAGAGCATTTTAATATTTTTAAATGTTTCTTAGATTTAACTGATTTAAGTAAATTTCAAGGTTTACATTACAGACGAAATAATAATAAAAGGCTCTTTTAAAAATTGAAAGTCTTCTCATGTAATACATAAAAGTACTGCTAATTTCTGTTTAATAGTTTAAAGAAATTAATTTATCATGTTGCTTTTACTTTCTTTGCATCCCTACCCAGCCTTGATCAGGCTCTAGGTTTGGCTTCTTGTAACAGGGACTAGAAGTAACTTCAAAACAAGAATAAATTTACTGCTTTTTCACTTAAAAAAGGTCCATAGCTGGTTATGGTGGCTTCATGGCATCAAATTCCTATCTTTTTCCCCTATCATCTTTTGAAATAGAGCCCTGTGGCTTCAGAGGGACGTGCTTTATAGAATTCATATGAACAGTATTTGCCAGAGTTGTGCAACAGGCATCCCTGTTGAGGACATTGCTTCTATTTTCAGTATCTCAAGATGCTGCTGGAGGTCCTTCTGTTTTAGCTACGTTTCAGTCTCTAGGAGTGGCAAAAAGAAATTTCTTTCAGCCAGGTCTTACAGCCTTCTTAGAAGCTTGTTACAACACTGAGAACACTTCTGCCAACATTTCACTGGCCAGAATTTAATCACAGAGCATCATATAGCTACAAGGAAATCTGGAATGTATTGCCCTTTACATTATACCTTGCCATCCCTAGTAAATGTCTTGACTAAGAAAGAAGGAAAGAGTGCATGTTGTATGGTACCTGCTGGTTTCTGTCCTAAACATCTGTGCACTTAAAAATGTTAGGAACTGGAAGTAGAGCATCATTTGGGTTTTAGACTGAGGTTTGAGAGGGAAGAACCATTTATTTTTAGTGTCTCTTCACAGATGAAAGAACCGAGGTCCTGATTAGCCTGGTAAGGTCACATAGCTGGCAAAACATGTTAGATTATATATGTAAACTTTCTTTTATGCTTCATGTGAAATTCTGGGGAAATTTTGATGGGAAAAATCAAACACGGGGAAGAAGAAAACTTCTTAGGGAAGACTCTGTGTTTTAATTTTATAAGGATGTTTTAATTCTTCTTTGTTAACTGCTGTATACTTTTCCTTTCTATTAGAAAACATTGGCATGGGAAAAAAAAAGCACATCGTGAATTAAGTGTCATTAACATATATGACTGGCTACTGGTGTCCAAAAGTTTCCCTTCAGTTTATTTAGGCAAATGGCTTGTCCTTAAAAAACTTGTTGTGGATATAAAGTGCTCCTTCAGTCAGCATGATGTTTTGACAAACATGATGTTTTGACAAATGTGTTTTGATTTATTCGTGAGAAGTATTTATTCCAGGTAACTAGTGAATTGATTAGCTGCATTGGAAATGAGCTTTCTAAAATTTCCTCACCCTCATGGAAGAAAAAGCAGAGATGGACATTAAAGCTTATTTAAACTCCAATACTCTTGCCTGAAAGTCCCATGGACAGAAGAGCCTGGTAGGCTACAGTCCATGGGGTCGCTGAGAGTCGGACACGGCTGAGCGACTTCACTTTCACTTTTCATCCATTGGAGAAGGAAATGGCAACCCACTCCAGTGTTCTTGCCCGGAGAATCCCAGGGACAGGGGAGCCTGGTGGGCTGCTATCTTTGGGGTCGCACAGAGTTGGACACAACTGAAGCGACTTAGCAGCGGCAGCAAACTCAAAGAAAAAGGCACAATATTTCCCTTATTCTCCCATTTCTAGTCATAAAGTTATATATTCTCATGGCCTGGAATGTTTTTTATCACTATCCTTGTGATACTGGTCTTCTTTTGAATTACAACTGATTCCATTTGCCTCTACCTTCCATTGCTTCTTCAACAGTGGAATCAAAGGCACAGATAGCTCTTTTTCCAGGAAACAATAAAGCAAGATAGCTCCCTGGCAGTTTTGCCACAGGAGTCAGTCCTCTTGGTGTTGGCTTGCTCTCAACTAAAGCAGTTTGTTCTTCCCTACTTGATTCCTTGAGATGTATACTAGTAATCAGGAAGCCTACTTTTCATAGGCTAAATTACTCTTAAGACCCTGGTGGAGTGGTTCTAAGTTGTTTTTCTTTTTAAATTTTGTTAGCCAGTATAGAAAGCATAATTTGGAATAATTATTATTTTTTCTATTTTTGGCTGTGCTGTGTCTTCGTTGCTGCACAGGCTATTCTCTAGTTGCTGTGAACGGGGTCTACTCTCTAGTTGCAATGCACGGGCTTCTCATTAGGATGGCTTTTGTTGTTGGGGAGCAGGGCTCTAGGGCACGCGGGCTTCAGTAGTCGGGGCCCGTGGGTTCTAGAGCGCAGGCTCAGTAGTTGTGGCACACAGACTTGAGTTGCTCTGCAGCATGTGGGATCTTCCCAGATCAGGGATCAAACCTGTGTCTCCTGCATTGGCAGGTAAATTCTTTACCACTGAGCCACCAGGGAAGCCCCAGAATAGTTCTTAATGCTAATTAGAGTGAAAAGTTCTTTAAGAATCATCAAAACTTTTGTGGCCAGATCTTAATGATAGTTTGCCTGATTTTGGATAAAACTCAAAGCAATGTATGCTTTCAATAATTTTTATGTCTTTTTAGAAGGTGAGATAATCATTTTGTCTTTTGTTCATTACCTGTATGCCACTAAATTTTTTGCTTTTAGAAATTATCAAGTAATGTAGTCAGTAAACCTTTTTATTTCATTTCTGTGTTACATTATTCTGTGGGCCCTTATAAAAATAGCCTTGTCACTATGACCCTGGAGTTAAATAGGTTAAAGCACTGTTCAGCTGTGTGCATCCTTGGTTTATGCCCTTTTTATGCCACTAAGAGCTTCCCATCCTGGCAGTCTTTGGCTCATTGCTTAGCCCAGAACCGGATTTGGATTTCAGATCTTTTGAAGGAGGAGCTCTGAATTGAGATCACTCATTGCCTGGGTAGCTTGTTAAAAATACTGATTTCTGTGTATCACCTGAAGGTTCTGATTCAATATCTGGAGTCCAGGAATCTATTTTTATTACCTCCTGTAATTATCATGCAGTCAGATTTAGACATCACTGCTTCTAGAAATGCCAGTCTGGCCACATTTTTGTTTTTTTTTTTAATTTTTTTATTACCATAAAAGTCTCTGTCATCACTCTTACTTCATGGATTATTCGTCCTCTCCCTCCCTTCATCCCCTACTCTCACATATATGTTCACTAAGCATATGAACAGTACATAGTGAAGTATTTTACTGAAAACCATGCTGAACCTTAGCAAAAAAATATCAGAAAATTTATAGCACCAAAAACTGTGTAACTAGAGAGTAATAGATTCCTTGAGAGAGTAGGGAGCGAGGAAGAATATTTTTTATGTTGTTTATCTCTTCCCTTGGTATTTTGAAACATTAGTTTAGCATAGTTTATGGACCAGCAGTCTTACCGTAGATCCTAAGTCTTTGTTAAAAATGCAGGTTCATAGATACAATCCCATACCTGAATCTGCAAGTTTTGGAGGTGGGAATCCAGCAACCAGCATTTCAGCATGTCCTCCAGGTAATTCTAGTAAAGTTTGAAAACCACTCTGTAGTATATTTAGTATGGTTCTTTCATTCCTCAGAGATGCCTTCCTATAGGATATCTGTGTACCTTTCTTAGCCATCACTCCTTGTTAGTATAAAGAATGAGGCTAGCTTAGAGTTGGGTGTAAACTGGATGCCAGATCTCCCTTAAGCAAACACTTCTCATCTTTCCCATGTGGCCTTACTTTGTGGGACTTACTTTAGCTCTTCCTTCTAAAGATCTAGTCTGCTTAAAAGTTCAACCTTTCATTCAATTTTGCTCCTATCTCCTTACTTTACCAGTCTTTTTAGGAATAATTAGGGTGTAAGATTACAAAAATGAGAAAGGATATGCATTCAGTGAAATGCCCTATCTAATATGAAATATAATTCTGGAGTGAAAATCATTAATTGGGGGTGGGGGAAACCCTGCCAACTATTCCTTAAGAAAACTTCACAGAATTAAGGAGAGCATGTGGAATCTTGATTTTTGCAAACTGGGGCCTAAAGAGCTTTGATGAGTTGTACAAAGTTAGTGATTTTTATCTAGATCCTCTCAGATTCTAGGTCTGTTTCTTTTTACATTCTGAATAACATCTAATACTATTCTAGCTTTTTCTCTGAAGATTTTGATCTTTTAACTATGAAGAAATGAAATGAAAAAGAAATGATTATGGGTAATATGTACAAAACAATAAATACAAGGCATATTACCCATAATCTTTTCTTTTCACTTCATTTCTTCATAGCTAAAAGAGAAAAAAATCTCAGAAGAAGAGCTCGTTAAAATTCCATGAAATAAGTAGGGCATGTGGAATCCTGAGTTTTGCAAACTGAGGTTTAAAAGAGCTTTGGTGAGTTGTACAAAGTTGATCATTTATCCCCATATCTTTACTATTCTAGGTTTTTTTAATATCAAATTAATAAACTCTGTGTGTCATAAATGTTTAATTATATAATTGCCTTCTTCTATAATAAGCATGCTTTCAACTTTTGATGAAAATCCTGCAGTGTATTCCTTTTTCCTGAGAACATGAAGCATCTTGGATACAATTTAACATCTTTAGTTATTTCAAATTATATGGCCTCTAAGGGACATGATTATGCAGGATTGTATCTGTACACTACTGTGGAAATATAGGAACTGTATTACTGATCCTTGAGTATACCCCCTAAATAAAAGCTCTGTTCATGAATGGGATCGAGGGAATCTCTGAGTAGTATTTGGAATATGGAATGCATGTTTCTGGGAGAGGTTCCATTTAAATCAATGGTTAGATTTTCAAACAGATCCTAAAGATAATCCCAGAACGGTGAATACACGAACCTAAATGATTCTTTAAAAATAATTTTTTGGGGAGGGTGGGGTTGGACTTCTTTTATAGATAAAGTAGAGATGGAAGTGTCAATGAAATGAGGATTGTATTAAGTGATATTTGGCTTTTTAAAGTATAGCTGTAAAATGAGAAGGAAAAATGCTTAATGATATAAAAAGGATTTTATTAGAATCTTAATTATTAGGGTTTCTTTTAGTTTTTAAATTCTAATCTCAACTTAAATGACTTTCCTAGGAATATTTAGTGACATTCATTTGCTGGCTATGATGTACAGTGGAGAAATGTGTTATTGGGGATTGAAGCATTGTGCAGATCAACAGCCAGAAAATCACGAAATGGATACTGGCGTTTCTGGAGCAAGCTACGCTGCACACAAAGAACCCTTGGATTTCCGAGAAGTAGGAGAGAAAATTTTGAAAAAGTATGTATTTGTATGCGAAGGACCCCTGAAAGAACAAGAATGGAATACAACAAATGCAAAACAAATTTTAAACTTCTTTCAGCATCACACTAACTAGTAAGTTCTTCTAGTCCTTTTCAAACAGAAAAACAAAAAGACTCAGGAATGAAAATTCCAGAAAAGAAGACATTGATACTGAATTTAAGAACATTATACTACATAAAGATAGCCAGCATGGTTACCCTTTTTTAAATGCCATTACTATCTTTCACTATGTATTCTTAAACCTGTGAAGGAATGATTCTTTAATTTCTGAAATGGCATTTACATTATTCTAACTCAGCCTGAACTACAGATATCCTGTGACTAATATTAAGAAGGAATCCAATTTATCTCTGTAAAGATTTTTGTTATTTAGATTTTTTTTATTGTGGTACAATATACATAACATAAAATTGAACATTTTGACTGTTTTTATATTTTTTTAGTCTCCCTCTCTTGAAGTTTGCTACACTTCAGAGATTAAAATCAAGTCATCTCTTTGCTTTGGATATATGCTATGGGTGTATTTAAAAATTGGCAAAATGAAAAATTGTGACTTGTATCCATGTACCATTTCCAGAGTAAGATAAATAATGAAAGACTCCACAGAAGAATTTTTGTTTCACTACATGCTACTAATGGCATTTAAAATTTTTAGTCTGTTAGGCATTTTATAAAAATTTTAAAAATTATTTTTCTTCTTTTGTTTAAAAGAATATGCATGATTTATTAAACAAATAATGAAGATAAAACCATTAGGTTAGTCTGCCATTAGTCATGTGTCTTAGGGCACATCTTTTCATACATTCTGAAATTTTAATATTTTCTGTCTTTGATTGTAGGGGTGAGTGTTAAAGGCCGAGAGCCCAGCCTGGTATCTCACTGACAGTCTTTCTGTCTACCTCAGTTCCTGTTGTCGTCTAGGGATGACCTGTCTGATACCTTGCCAGTATCCTCAATCTCTGGGCCATTGACTTCATCACATTCCAGGAACTTAACTCCCATGGCCACTGAATATCACCATCCTGAGTTTCTGTTTCTGAAATCTTCAATTTTGGTAACTAATGACATTTTTCATCTTTCCAACTTTTTACTTCCTCATTTTTGTTGATTTTTCTCTCTCTCTTACTTCCTTCCTATCTCTTTTGCTTCTTCAGAGCCTCCTCTTACTATTCTCTTTTCTCCTCACCATCAGCCCCTTGGAGAGTTTTCTTCCTTCCCTGTCCAGCCTTGGTTTTCTGTGACACCACATGAAGAGCTCTCTACAGTCCCTTCAGATCCCATCTTCCCCTTGTCCTTCAGCCTAATCATTCTTTAAGCCTTCTCTCCATATTGAATTAATCCTATCATTCCCCCTTTTCTGGGGTGCTGAATTCTGTGTGAAGTTCCTGTAGCCCTTCAAAGAAGAGTCACTCTAAGTATCTCACCTTCAAGGTTAGAGGAGCCCTCAGCATAAGCCATTTATCTGTCCATTTCCCACTGTGACTCACGCATACCTCTGACTTGCCTCATCACTTTTCTCTGGCCATTTGTCTCCTCCCCTAGCACATGGCTCTTAGTCCTTTCTTAACAGAAATAGAGACTATGAGGAGGTCAGCCTCTGTTTCCCTCCTTTGCCCTATTTATTTTCCCGCTTTTTTGAGGAAAATAGGTCTCCTGCTTCATGTTGAAGACCCAATTTTCCCACCTTTCCTTTCTGCCAACTTCTTCCTTTCTCCCAGGGCTTCTCTTTTTTTCTGTCTGTGCCCTGTAGGTATTGCTGTTTCCCAAAGTACTGTCCTTTTTCTCTTTTTCCTCCTTCTCCCCTATTTCCTTCCTACCTTTCTCCTTTTTTTTCTTTTATACTTATTCTAAATACCGTTGACCCTTGAGCAATGCAAGTTTGAACTTTGAACTACATGGGACTGCTTATACATTTTTTTTTCAGTAGTTAATACTACACTTTTATACAATCAGCAGTTGGTCATATCCTCAGATATGGAGGAGTCGCAGTGTGGATGGCTGACTATAAGTTATATTGTGATTTTTTACTGCCAGGAGGATTCATCCCTAATCCCCTCATTGTTCAGGGATCAGCTGTACTTCTTTGTGGTGTTATTCATAACCATGGCTTCTACCACCTGTAATCTTCGGCTGACTCCCTAACCTGCACTTTGAATCCCAACTTGTGCTCTCTAAACGTTCTTTTTAATTGCTGTTAAATATCTTCACTTAGACATACCACAGTAATTTTAAATTTAACGTGCTCACACACAACTAATCTTCATCTTTCATCTACAATCTTTTCCAGTTCATGTTTTCTTTTTTTTTTCGATCTTCCACAAAGCAGGGCAACACAGAATGTTGTAATCTGCTTTCTTCTGCCTACCTTGCCAGTCTCATCTCTGCAGCTCTTCTTGTGTGATCATATTCTAGTCCAGTGTTCCTTAGGCTCCTTTTTGATTCATGTTCTGATAGAACCTCTTGGGACAAGTGGAGAATCTCTCTCTGTCTCTTATTTTTATTCTCACACAGCTAAGAAGACTTTTATTTAATTTAGTCTTTAACAAGTTTTGCTGTGAAAACGCCTTTATGCTTTCTAAGCATGAAGATTTAAATCACAGACTATCCATCCTCACTCCACCCCTTTTGGAGCATCACAATCAGTCACAAGTGTACCAGTTCCTTTTCTAATGTGCTATGTGTTTTTTTCCTTTGTTATTCTTATTACTTCTCAGTGGGATGCGTTGCCCTTCTTTGTGGCCAAGGAAGTATTTTCCTTTAGGCCTCAGCCCCAGTGATATTGTTCCTGTAAGACTTTTTCTAGCCCTTTTCAGTCAAAGTTAACTAGTTTCTTCATTTCCACTCCCTGAATCTTCCCCTCCCATGTTATCACACTGCTTATATTGCTTTATAGTCATTTTTCTTAAAAGTTGACAAATTCCATGTTTTGAAAATTTATGCATAGTGCTTAATGAATGGTAGGCCCTTGGTAATGCTTTTTGAATTAATAAGAGACATGATTCTCTGCCACAAAAGGGTTTTTGATATCTGACTCCAAACTGCCATTTCCTCTGTACCAGTGGTTGACAAGGCCAAGAAGGAATTATTCCTCAGAGGAGTAAAGTATTGTTTAGATTTAGAACCAGAGGAAAAAAGAGAATTTTGTCTTCAGAAGCTAGGGACTCCATTTTGTCTTCATGACCCTTTTGAAACAGTCCTTTTGGGTCTCTCACTGGTTGATACACTAATGAGGGTACTGTTGGGGTGCTTTTTGTACAACTTTTTCATCCCCCGCACAATTGAAGAATAATGTGTAGATCATAACAGTACAATGCTTTTTACTGTGATGTATCACGAAGCAATGAACAGTACGTTTTTATATGTTAAAGTCTGCTAAGTGAATTCTGTTACATTTAGAATGGATTAACTTCAAAGTACCAAATATTCCACATAAGGAAGGTACTATAATTCATTGATCAAAGTATTATAATTCACTTATCAACACGTGCCTACTACATGCTAAGTTTTATCCTTAAGCACTGAGAATATAGCTTTGTAAAACATCAGAGTTTATATTCTAGTGGAAGAAGTTAATACATTTTAAGAAGTAAAAATATAGTGTGGTCAGTGATGATTGCTATGAATAATAAAGCAGGGTATGGGGCTAGTATGACTCTTAAGAAGGGTGCTGTTTTATTTAGGGTGATGAGGAAGACACCTCCAAGCACCTATCTACTTCATTTGTGTCTCCCCTCTGTTTAAACACCATCAAATGTGCCATTTCATATTCAGTGTATTCATAAAATTTCTTTTTTGAAAGTTTTGATGCTGGATTAAAGAATGAATCACTTCCTAAGAACTTTTCATTTTGATCACATTTAAAGGGTTTCTCTCCAGTGTGGCCCTTACTAATGGGTAAGTGATAACCTAAAGGCCTTATAGAATTTATTACACTTCGAGTTCCTCTCCATTTTGAACTCCTTGATGGGTTACTAAAACTTTAACTCTGTTAAAGTAATTTTCATAATCCTTAAATTTGTATGGTTCTTTTCCAGGATGAATTTTCCCATGTTAACTAGGCTTTGAGACTTAGTTAAAGGCTTGTCTGCTTTGCTGCATTTATAGGGTTTCTGGCTACTATGAATTGCTTGATACTGATTAAAGTGCACATCAAGACAGAAGACTTTCTCTTATTTCATGTTCAGTAGAGTGAGGTGAGAGTCATGGCTGAAACCCCACGATATAATTTCCCTTCTTGCCTTTACAATTCCACTGGAAATTCTGTAATGTAAGGGGGTATGGTCTCTAAAGACTTCCTTAGATCCTTTTTAATGCCATTTTTTAAAAACTCGCAGCTTGCTGAAAACATTAGTTGTAGATCGCTTGTCACTTTTCTCGCTTCACCTTCTAGGGCTCCTTTTCTGGCTCCCATAAGGATATCCCTTCTGCACAGAGTACAGGATTCCGTAGTTCTCTAGCATCACTTTATTGTATTATTTTTTTTTTAACACAGTATGAGCTATCATGTTATGAAAGTATTACATTAACATACATTTAATGTATCCACAATTAAAGTATGCATTAGGTATTTGTGCTGCTGTACCTTACTGTTTTTTGTTTGTTTTCCTACTTCTAGTGAAAATTTCCAAGTAAAGTGTTTTGGAGCATATAAAATTTTTAAGAAACAATAAAACCATAATCCCATATATGTTTTTTGTTTTGTTCTTTGTTTTCTTTTATATCTGGGTATTGTATTAGAATGGAAACTTTTATCATCTTAATTTAGTGTTTATAACCAAGCACAACCTTATGGGGCCTTTCTGAGACATTTTGCTCCCTCTGCCCACTATGCCCTCTACCTGCCTCTTCATATAAGAACTTCAGCTTCGCAGGCCTTCCCCAAGTTCAAAATATAAATTTAATCAGAGAAGTGAGAAAATGCAGAAACAAAGGAAAATAGTCAAACAAGACAAAATAATGATTTAGCCATTAAACAAAGTCAAGGACCTTTAGTTCCTTCTCAAGGGTTATAGATAATGTTATAAACCATATCCTTCGAGCTGTTTTGCAAATACTCAAACTCGCACCATGTGGAAGAAGATATGAACCAGTAGGTTGTTGCTGTTGACTGCCACCAGCCAATCAGAAGAATGTCCACAGGCTGATCAGGTACTCTGCAACTCTCTCCCTTACTCTGTCTTTAAAAAACTTTATCTGAAAGCCGTCAGGAAATCTGGGAGTCTTCTTTTGAGCACTAGCTATGCATGCTCCTTCTTTAGCGTCTGCAATAGATGGTGCACTATCCTTCATAATCGGGGTGTCAGTAGATTGACTTTCATGCATATAGGCAATGGACTCAAGTTTGGTTTGATAATGTATTGACAGTATTATTCTGGTCCTGATAACCTTCAGACAGAGTAGTTTAGTGGTTAGGAATATGGGTTCTAGAGTCAGAGGCTTGATTAAACCCCAGCTCTCTTGTTTCTTAGCTGTGTGACACCATATAAATATTTAACCTTTTTGTGCCTTAGCATTCTGTTGTTTAACACAGGAATAATAATGGTACCTACTTCACAGGTTGGAAGAAAAAAATGAGTTAATATTCGAAGTGCTTATTCAATAAAGCAGAAGTAGATGTTTTTCTGGAACTCTTGCTTTTTTGATAATCCAATGGATGTTGACAATTTGATCTCTGGCTCCTCTGACTTTTCTGAATCCAGCTTGAACATCTGGAAGTTCATGATTCACGTACTGTTGAAACCTGGCTTGGAGAATTTTGAGCATTACTTTGCTAGTGTGTGAGATGAGTACAATTATGCAGTAGTTTCAACATTTGGCATTGCCTTTCTTTGGGATTGGAATGAAAACTGACCTTTTCCAGCCCTGTGGCCACTGTTGAGTTTCCCAAATTTGTTGGCATATTGAGTGCAGCACTTTCACAGCATCATCTTTTAGGATTTGAAATAGCTCAGCTGGAATTCCATCACCTCCGTTAGCTTTGCTCGTAGTGATGCTTCCTAAGGCCCACTTGACTTCGCATTCCAGGATGTCTGGCTCTAGGTGAGTAATCACATCATCATGGTTATCTGGGTCATGAAGATCTTTTTTTGTATCTTTCTTCTGTGTATTCTTGCCACCTCTTCTTAATATCTTCTGCTTCTGTTCGGTTCACAGCATTTCTGTCCTTTATTGTGCCCATCTTTGCATGAAATGTTCCCTCAGTATCTCTTAATTTTCTTGAAGAGATCTCTGATCTTTCCCATTCTGTTGTTTTCCTCTATTTCTTTGCATTGATCACTGAGGAAGGCTTTCTTATCTCTCCTTACTAATTATTTGGAACTCTGCATTCAAATAGGTATATCTTTCATTTTCTCCTTTGCCTTTAGCTTTTCTTCTTTTCTCAGCTGTTTGTAAGGCCTCCTCAGACAACCATTTTGCCTTTTTGGATTTCTTTTTCTTTGGGATGGTCTTGATCACTGCCTCCTTTCAGGGTCACAAACATCTGTGATCACTGCCTCCTTTCAGTGTTACGAACCTCTGTCCAAGTTCTTCAGGCACTCTGTCAGGTCTAATCCCTTGAATCTATTTGTCACTTACACTGTATAATCATAAGGGGTTTGATTTAGGTCATACATGGATGGTTTAGTGGTTTTCCCTACTTTCTTCAATGTAAGTCTAAGTTTGGCAATAAGGAGTTCATGATCTGAGCTACAGTCAGCTCCTGGTCTTGTTTTTGCTGACTGTATAGATCTCCATCTTTTGTTGTGAAGAATATAATCAATCTGTATTTGGTATTAACCATCTGGTGATGTCCATCTGTAGAGTCTTCTCTTGTGTTGTTTGAAAGAGGGGGTTTGCTATGACCAATGCGTTCTCTTAGCAAAACTCTTAACCTTTGACCTGCTTCATTTTGTTTTCAAAGGCCAAATTTGCCAGTTACTCCAGTTATCTCTTGACTTCCTACTTTTGCATTCCAGCCCCCTATAATGAAAAGAACATCTTTTTGGAGTGTTAGTTGTAGAAGGTCGTATAGGTCTTCATAGAACTGTTCAACTTCAGCTTCTTCAGCGTTACTGGTTGGGGCATAGACTTGGATTACTGTGATAATGAATGGTGTTCCTTAGAAACAAACAGAGATCATTCTGTCGTTTTTGAGACTGCATCCAAGGACTGCATTTTGGACTCTTTTGTTAACTGTGGGCTACACCATTTCTTCTAAGGGATTCTTGCCCACAGTAGTAGATATAATGGTCATCTGAGTTAAATTCACCCAATGCAGTCCATTTTAGTTCACTGATTCCTAAAATTTCGATGTTCACTCTTGTCATCTCCTATTTGACCACTTCCAATTTATGTTGATTCACCCTACCTACCTCCTGAGAAATCTGTTTGCAGGCCAAGAAGCAACAGTTAGAACTGGATATGTAACAACAGACAGTTCCAAATCAGGAGAGGAGTATGTCAAGGCTGTATACTGTCACCCTGCTTATTTAACTTACATGCAGAATACATCATGCAAAATGCCAGGCTGGAGGAAGCACAAGCTGGAATCAAAATTGTCAAATCTCGAGAGTCCCTTGGACTGCGAGGAGATCCAACCAGTCAATCCTAAAGGAAATCAGTCCTGAATATTCATTGAAAGGACTGATGCTGAAGCTGAAACTCCAATACTTTGGCCACCTGATGCGAAGAACTGACTCATTTGAGAAGACCGTGATGCTGGAAAAGATTGAGGGCAGGAGGAGAAGGGGGCAATAGTGGATGAGATGTGGTTGGATGGCATCGTGGACTTGATGGACATGAGTTTGAGCAAGCTCCTGGGTTTGGTTCTGGAAAGGGAAGCCTGGTGTGCTATATATAGTCCATGGGGTTGTAGAGTCAGACATGACTGAGCAACTGAAGTGATTATCTGCCTTACCCATCAACTGGGATAATTAACTGCCCCTTTTTTTGACCTTGTCACTTTTGGAATATTAGGTCCCCAACCAGGGATTGAAACTAGGCTCTCAGCAGTGAGCACGGAATCCTAACCACTGGGCTGCCTGGGAATTCCCAAATGGCTGGTTCTTGTTCTGGCTAGTGAGCACTCACTAACATTTGCTTACTTCAAGTGGTGCTGGCATTCTAAGTGGGAAGCAGTTTTCAGAGAGGAAATCACTGACTGTATAGGCACCTTAAATGTTTACAATAAGTATGGCTGGAAGAAAACTTAAATTTTCAGAAGTTTTTCAGCTCCAGTCAAAAGTCTCCAAATGTATATATACCTGTTACAGTATACCAACTTCCACGGTTACCATTCAGCTTCAATTACTGGGCTTCTGGTTTCACACTCACTTTTGGTCTCACATTTAACTCAAGTCAGATGCATTTAATAAATATTAGTCATCTAAATATTATGCATACCCTGTTTAAAAATAGATTAAACTGTGGTAAATGCACATGACTGAGTAGCATGTAGCTTTAAAAAGCAAAGAGGAATATTTCTTTAAAATGCTATGGAGTGGTATTACTAAGTGAAAAGGTGGAAAAGGTATACAGTACTATTTAAGAGTATAAATGTGTTTGTATAACCTTGTTTGCTTATATTAAAAAAAAATGGTTATCAATGGTGAAAGGAGGAGATGGGGGAGCAGAATCAGATGTAGGGGATCAGGATGTAAACTGGACTTCTCTGAATTTTGTCCATTGGCTTAGGAATCATGTACTACATTTTTGCAGTTTTTAAAAAATACGATAACATCAAAAATTAAAGAAAATTCCTAAAAATCCAAAACAAAATGAAGCAAATGAACTGTAATTGTGTAGCAAGTTGGTGGCTTCAATACATAGGAATGTTTCAGTTACCTTTCAGTTTAGTCACTCAGATTAGTCAACCCCATGGACTGCAGCAGGCCAGGCCTCCCTATCCGTCACCAACTCCCAGAGCCTACTCAAATTCATGTCCATCAAGTCGGTGATGCCATCCAACCATCTCATCCTCTGTCGTCCCCTTCCCCTCCCACCTTCAATCTTTCCCAGCATCAGGGTCTCTTCCAGTGAGTCAGTTCTTCACATCAGATGATGAAAGTATTGGAGTTTCAGCTTCAGCATCAGTCCTTCCAATGAATATTCAGGACTGATTTCCTTTAGGATGGACTGGTTGGATCTCCTTGCAGTCCAAGGGACTTTCAAGAGTATTTTCCAACACCACTGTTTAAAACCATCAATTCTACACTCAGCTTTCTTTATCGGCCAACTCACATCCATACATGACTATTGGAAAAACCGCAGCTTTTACTAGATGGATGGACCTTTGTTGGTAATGTCTCTGCTTTTTAATATGCTGTCTAGGTTGGTCATAGCTTTTCCTCCAAGGAGTAAGGATCTTTTAATTTCACTGGTTGCAGTCACCATCTGCAGTGATTTTGGAGCCCCCCAAAATAAAGTCTGTCACTGTTTTCATTGCTTCCCCATCTATTTGCCATGAAGTGATGGGACCAAATGCAATGATCTTAGTTTTCTGAATGTTGAGTTTTAAGCCAACTTCTTTACTCTTTCACTTTCATCAAGAGGCTCTTAATTCTTCTTTGCTTTCTGCCATAAGGGTGGTGTCATCTGCATGTCTAAGGTTATTGATATTTCTCCCAGCAATCTTGATTCCAGCTTGTGCTTCTCCCAGTCCAGCATTTCGCATGATGTACTCTGCATATAAGTTAAATAAGCAGGGTG